ACACCTGTATATATATCAACCTGTATGTGTTGTCATTACTGAAGCAGCTTTACTCAAACAGACAGGGTAAAGACTGTTAAAGCTAAATATCATTAACGCTTGACTTTCGTGGCTAATCCAATCCACCCAAGACTCACACAGCGCTCTGTGTTTAAATGTGATTTTAAAGGAATTTTCTTTCGCAATCTAGACATCACAATGCAGAGAGACACAGACAAAGACGTAACAAAGCGCACAACAATAAAAGCTCCGAGTCGAGCCTTAACCAGTCGTGCTGCGAGCGCGAGGCAAACACCCACTGTTCCAAAACGCAACATGTGCCTTTCATCCGCACTGTTCCCCCGCAGCAGATGCAATCCAGCCCCGAAGCACTTTTATATCCCGGTGACATGCTTCTTTTGATAACAACATTCCTGCTGGGGAATCCAAACAAAGTAAGATAATGACGATCGACAGTTCAGAAAGAGTCGCATGATCACGAGTGTGAATATGCTCACAATAGTCGAGCAGGGGTGGCGATGGTGATGGTTGGGAAAGTTGTTTTTTATTGGCTGTGGCTCAAATGCAGGAGGAAACTGTTACAGAAAATTACAGCTCGTCATGTAAATACGTTAAACTCCATTTCTTAATTTATGTTTGGGAGTTGTTTTTGTGTCAATTAATAGTCTAATAATGGAGGTGTTGTTGGTTTTAAGGCACTCATCATGTCAGCAGATCACCAGCGGTCTAATTCAGGCTCAGCGTTTGTTTCCATGAAGCCCTAAAGCTCGCCCCGACCCAACATCTCAAACTAAAACAGAGTGACTTGAACCAAGCTTATAAACCGACCTAGAAGAGAAAGTCATTTTTAAGTAACAGTGGAAGCAATGCGTCTTAAGTGAACAGATCTCACTGCAACACTTTCCTGGAAACACATCTTGCGGGCCGATTGTTGAACTCGTAAACAAGTCTAACTCTGTGTGTGTAACGTTGAGGTTGTTCGGAGTGTGTTATCGAGAAAATTGTCAGCCTCAGAAGAAAAATCGTACTGCTCACATTCACAATTTAATGGATGGACCAAAGCAGGCATAGAAAATGAGCAGGATAGCCTCCGGCGACGTATGCACGTTTATTTCTCTCCCAAAGCCCACGGGGGGCAATGTCACCATTGTCCTCATTCCATTTTCTTTTCAGCTGGTTTTAATGGCTACTGCCGAACGTAATGAGACATGCAGCGCACAGCCAAGGTGATTGAAATTAATTTGTGCTCGTCAGCAAGAACTCATTCATTTCCAGACGCACTCGCAGTATGGATCTAGAATTAGCAGGTTTGTCCATCAGCCTGTCAGGCTGACATTCAGCAGGGATGACTCGGAATCGATTAGATATACTGCTTTTATATTTAAAACATTTCAGGGCCGATGACATTGATCGACTGGTTACCAACGTGTCGGAACTTCCATGTGTTCTAAGTGTCATTTCCAGTATGGCATGTTTCAGCTTCTCCTCCATTTTGTGGGCGACCAGGGTGACAAGCGACTGTCAAGTAGTAAAATAAAAGGCAAATATATGCTGATTAGTTGAGTTGTAGAGGGACGTATTTGCAGCCAACCAAATTCCAAGCAGCCTTAAATGCACTTAGACATGAAAGGTGACAACATATTGCATAAATGCTGCACCAACTATGCAACACCCACAATGCCAACACAGGGATTAACACACTACACTCGTGCACGTTTATCACCGACCTCACACTGACACACTCTTGTCAGTGTTGCGTCTCCTACTCGCAGCGCACACGCTCCTTCAGATGCATCTGTCATACGCTCAAACAACTCACTCACTCAGACTGGGAAAGTGAAACATCAATCATCTCCTCAGATCTTTGCACCGCTTCCTCTCCGCCAAAGAATTGATTTGAACAAACCACAGTTTCAGCACTGAGAGATTTAGCAGCGAAAATACATTTTTGATCCCCCCCTGCTGCGTTAAGAGCCTCTCAGATGATCCGGGACAGGTCAGCTTAGCGTCGGCGGGATCAAAACTTCCAGGAAACACGAGGACTTCTTCGACTCTCTGACTTTAATGCTTGCCATTGCAATTTATTAATTTCCAATTGTTCAGTTTAGCTCGTTTTATTCCATTTAGGCCTATTTTTTCTCTCCTGTTTCACTTTGTTCATTGTATCTCTGTGTTTTTATTCCTCCTCTTAATCCCTCTTTTATGTCCCAGAAAGCAATTTAAGTCGCTTTGATGTTGAAAAAGTGCTGCACAAAGACACTTGTATTGTGCAAGGCGGTTACTGTTCGGCTTCCTCGGGTACACATTGTGTACTACTTCTAGCAGCTGCAGTACTCGCACCCTTTATTCTACTTGTTATTTCATCTGCAGTGTGTCAGGATTTTACTGAACATTGAGGACACAATCAAAGTAAAGTTAAGATGCACATGCTGCTGATTCTGACATATCAAATAAACCCTTGTGATTTGACAAATGCGGCGCCTCCTTCAGGCCAAACTTGGCAGTCTATAAAACCTTCTTTTTTAAACACACCAAACATTTCCAACACCTTCACCTGCAGCTCTTTTCCTCACCACTTCCATCAGTGTCACAAGCAGAAAAAGGAAAAATAAACGCATGTATAGGTTCGTTATTAATTGTTAATATTTCCTCTGCCATATTTGTCTGTATATTCAAACTCCCATGAATCATTTAGTCAAGTGGATGCACTCGAGGGAGAGCGTCCTCAAACGGGAACACCATCCGTCCTGCTTTCCACTTCAATCATTTATTTATCTAACATTGTGCCCGCTCGAAGGAAACACAACCAACCGATGGCATCTTCACACTCAACACACAATCTGGACTCACAACTTCCTCCACGTGGTTTTTTAGTCCTCCCAACTTACTCAAGCGGCTCCCAACTTTTTTTTTATCTCTCCAGTAGAAAGTTTTGCATCCCGTGTCTCAACCAGAAAGTCCTGCTCTCACATTCACGCCCCTCGTATCCGCAGCGCTGCGTTTCTTACCTTTCCGTCCACCGAGTATCTGCGGGTGTGCTGCACCGCTCCTGCGCTTTGGTTCATGTTTCAGCACCGCGGACAGCTCCGGCGGGAGGACGCGGGGAGAAAGCCGGTCGGTTCCGCGGATCGACGGACTGCAGCTGGAAGGAGAGGAAAGAACCAAGCGTCCGCCTCGGTGGAGTGACTGAAACTAGTTAACCGCTCCGTTTCCAGCTGTTTACTGGTTCGTCGTCTTCTCCGTGACACGCGTGGGTTCTCAGCCAATGGTGCCGTGTGCGTAAAGACTCGCTCTGCTGGTGCGCCAGCTGTGCGCGCAAGCGGGCTGCTCATTCATCCGATGCAGCCAAGTTAGCTCCCAGTCAGGCAGATAACACAAAGGGCCACGAACAATCTGGCAGCTGGAGGGGTAAAAAAAAAAAGGTTTTAATCCGTCTACAATATGTTTTTTGTTTTTTTTTTTCCTCATAAACTCTGAATCCTCATTAGACTTGACACAAGGGGCATGTCACTGACATATTTCACTGAAATAAAAGCTCATCATTCCATGGGGAGAGATTACATAAGGTGATTAAAAAAACGGATAACAACAGCTCTGTACATGTGGAAGCATGTTTATGGAGCTATAGGTGGATGTGTGTTTAACAAAGTGTTGCTCTTTTTAAATGTGTTATGTTATAAATCATCAGCCATTGATTTTAGCAGGTCTGGAGGTCATTTTTGGTAAATAAAATGTGCCAGAATAGAATTTTGGTTCATTAGAAAGAAAGCATGAGAAGTGGTTTTCAGACTACATGAGAAATGAGAATGTCTTAACTCACCGTGGGACACCAGATGATGACTCACAGGGGAAGTTGACAAGACCACAAAAAAGCGAACCCAAATGCACGACTCCAAAAACTCAAAAATGTTCTCAAACTGATTTATTTACAAAAGTATCAACAGAAATATCATTCAACACTAAAAAACCTAAACTCAAAGCGTCACTCTAACGAGGAGAATAAAGAACCAAAAAAATCACTCGATTGAGGAAATACAAACTAAAAATCACTCGATGAGGAAAAAACTTAACAATCTTTCTAAACAAAGTAACAACTCAAACACTTGATTAGGACAGAGGCTGAATACAAAGTAGCAAACAAAATACAAAAGCTGAAGGTAGTTTCCACAAGGGACATGAACGGGGAAATCCTGGACATGAAGAGGGCTAGAACGTGAAGCTTGACTCAATGACAAGACGAACTGGCACAGGACAAAGGGAGACGCAGACTATATATACACACACAAGGTAATGAGGAACAGGTGGAGACAATCAGGGCTGGGTAGACAATCAGACACAGGAAACACCGGGGAGAGGGCAAGCGTCTTGAAACACGAGGGCAAAGAGGTTTCAAAATAAAAGCCACGAGACAACACAAATACAAGACAAAAAACTAAATAAAACCTAACACCTGGTACGAGACATGACAGAAGTTGACTTTTGTTCTCATTTGAAGCTGTGAGTCAGAAAACATCATCATCAGTTCTGTTGAGTTCTGAAAACTTTAAATCTATTTATGTTCAACCAGCACTTTTTGGAGTGCATATTCTGGTTAAAACACTTTTCTTTAACCATCTCTACTTGTGCAAAAGTAAGCAAAACTAATAGACATTCCCAATTTTCTCATCATTTATTTTTCTGAAGTAATCCCTGATTAAATCCCTACAGGGTTCACAAAAGTAAGTCAGTTTCCTCGTGTGATTTTTTTTTCTTCATCTTGTTCGCATCTATTTGTAAGCTAAAAGATTTATCGTAAGCAGAATAAACAGTCAACTCCATGTCTCAGTTCCACCTTGAAGCTTCAGTTTACCGATGACAGTCTCAAACACACCGATTCAGACCTCTGAGGTTTTATATGTAACAGATATAAGAAACCAATGCTGTCAACTTTGGGCTTTCTGTGTCGGTTTGACTCTTACACCTTGTCAGCATAAACCATGGAGCAGTCTTACAGTGTTCCAGCAGGTGAGCTGGTGTGCTCAAGCTGCAGTGAATGGAAAGAGGGCTTCATGGATCTGCACATTTTCTAAGAAGCAAAGGCAACGTCTAATTTGTTTTAAGGTAGTGAGGGATTATTTTTTTATGGACAAAACTTCAAAAATATGTAACTTTAATTAACCAAGAGGGATTGAATCAACAACTAAAGAGGGGCTTCTGGCAATTTATTGAATTGAGGTTTTTCATTTGTTTTGTTTTTGGCATTTGTTTGTGTTTCCAGCTTTATAAGGTAAAAAGCAATAAACTTTGTCAAATGGACTTTCTTAGCAGGCCTCTATAGCATTGATAATGTTATAATAGCAGTGTTTAACTTTGGGTATTTGGTCCTGTGCATGAAATACTTTGTTAAAGTATGCTAATGGTATTTCCACTACTCCAAATGATGTCAAGTTTCTGCATAAATTAATTTTCAGTAATCTGTTTCTGTATTACAGGTACAGATAACTGACCCTGGCACTATGTAATGTTAGCTCAAAAAGCTAACTTGGTGCAAACATCAACCAACCAGCCCAGTAAACAAGTTGGTAATAGAGAAAAGTTTACAGATGGAGTTGAGTAATGGGATAAAAACAGTTTGTTGCTGAATTGTCACTCAACTTTCCTCCCATAGTGTTTTCCATGTGTAGTCAGCTCTTCTGACTGCTCAAATAACAACAGACAAGTTGGTATAAATCAAGGGAAACAGTATTTCTCGTGGCGGCAAAATAACACCGAAACAACCAGCGTGAGGCGGAAGGCTCAAAAGCACTACCAAGAGCGGGGTCAGATAAAGGTCAAATGGCCAAACAAGGCTGGCATCGGGCAAGAAGAGGTCACAGCAACAAGCCCAACGACAGCAGCTTATGTAAGTGAGTCCAAAAATAAAACCGAGACAAGCAGAAAGAAAACTAGGACTATGGTGAATGCTCCATATAGGCAAAGGGCAAGAGCTGGAGAGCTCATATATAAACGGGATTAATGGGATGATGAGGGGCAAGCGATTGGAGACCAGGTCGAGGCAGGAGCCAGCTGAGGACAGCATCTGGACAGGTGAAGAGTGATAGGGTGTGGGATGAAGGGAGCATTAGTATCGGCCTAAATAACAGAATGAAAAATCCCGGTAGGAATCAGGAGGATAAACCAGTGACAGACAGGCGGAGCTGCTTAGCCTCAATGTGGAGCATCTTCATTATATGTACGTCCACGAAAACAGGAGGCAGGACGAGCTTTACCCTCGAAGGTGAACACTGTGAAGGTCACAGCGGTGACGGGAAAGTCACGGGATGCACAATAGCAGCTCTTCGCAATGTCTAAACGGCTCTAGAAATAGAGGCGCAGAAATGACCGCACACTTGTGACGATGTAAGAAGTCATAAAAAAAAACTGCAGAAATCCCTCCTATGTATATGAATTAATCAGGATTATACACCTAAATGTGTCGAGTGCACGCAGGCTTACAAAACCTGTACAGAGACACGAAAAGAAAGCAAACCAACACATACTGCACTATACGTGTTATCAGTGTATCAGATATGAACATACAGTCTTCACATATGATGATGGTAAGTATTTAAAAGCAAAACAGCGATATCTATGTAAATAAATATGTGTGCAGTAATCTACACCTGTACGTCATTACACTGAAGGCAAAGCATGTGAATCATTTTCTATCACTGATTTGACTCCAGAACATCAATGCAGCTTTAATTTATAGTATCTGCTTATTGAACTTGAGAGGAATAAAAATGTCAATACGCAATGTAATCTAAGACGGCATAGCCTCAAAAATGTAATCATGAATGTCAGCCATTGATGTGAAGAACAAGACTCATTCAAAATCATTCATTTTTTTATTCTGTGTACATTTAAAAGAAGGGATGAAATGTCCTGGGGTACATCATGGCTTTATATTTGGGAGGATTCTGTATATTCTGCTAAAACACAAACCAATACCAGTTTTCCAAAGTGAAGCAGATTCGACCAGGACACAACGTGGTTCAACTAAACTGGCAAAATCGATTCAGTATGATCGATCACATTTCTGTTCCAGGAAATTTGGGTAAAGTTGCAGTTGAGAATTTTTAGTGCAGGTTCAGCAACATTATTGTTTACTGTCTCTTCCCACAAGGATCTTAGCTATTTTATAATTTTAGGTTGTTGTTGTTTTGTTTTTTGTTTTTTTATGAAAGTAAATTTGTCAGTTTTCGCCAGAGTTTCTGAAATGTTACTCAAATCTGGTGAAAAAGACGAGATTTAGTTTACTTCAAAATTCTCCCAAGTGTCTCGTGAAACCCAACGTTGCTCATTTTGAAGCCATGACTGATTAAAGGGATGTTTTTGTGGGTGGAAATCTTAGAAAGTAGCCAAGTGATAAATAAGGTGAGGGTGCTGTATAATTTCTTCATTTTCATTGTTTCCATTTTTGGTTTCACCACCTAAAATATTAGGGCAACAGTTACAACACAATCTCTCTTTTTAAAAAGAAAAGCATCAAAATAGTCTTATTTTGTAAACATGAAAATAAATACATTACGACAAAATCCTGTCTTAAAGGAAGGCTGACTGGGCTGATTGGTTAGATGATTAAAAATCAAATAATACAACAACTAGATGGATCAGAGTAGAGGAAATAGCACTGGCATACTTACACTGTACAGTAGAACATTGATACCACTATGATTAATGGTTTGACAATACAGTGAGCGGAGGAGGAATAGACCAATCTGATCATGAGACTTCACAAAAATGAGAAAGACTGGTGACCAACCTAAAAATCATAGAAGGCGCCATGGTAGCACGAATCAAAGCTGCGGTGGAGACGCAATCCAGCTCCTGAAAACAAGCAGGAAACGTGATTATTGATGCAAATGAGAGTTCCTGTGACAGCTCAGACAGTGTGAAGTACGGTGCTTAAAGTCAACCTCTGTGCACAAAAGTCAAGGAAAATACCCAAGCTGCTGTTCGGCACAAACCTGAAAAATTAAACTTTACTACGAGGATCGCCACAGTGAATGCATCGTCCTGACAGTGAGGCAGGAAGGTGGAAGTG